CACACACACACACACACACACACACACACACACACACACGTGTGCAGGGTATGTTTCGCACCTGGTGCTGATGATCAGCAAATACCTGCAGCTGCCGCTGCGGTATCCCATCAAGCTGCTCGGCTCGCGATCCTCAATCACAGACGACATCGCCTTTGACCGCTCCGACCGCCCTCGAAGGTCTGTGTTCCCCTCTGTGCTGGCTGCCCCACCTCACTTTCTCATGGCAGCTCATGCGGTCGTTCAACACACACACACACACACACACATCTTCCTGACTTCCTCACCACTGCAACACTGCACCACGACGATGATGATGGTGATGATGGTGATGATGATGGCGGTTCGCAGGTTCCCGCTGTATCCGCGTGTGAAGGACCGGTCCATGTTTGAGCGGGGCGTGTTCCTGCTGAACAAGGACGTGCAGCAGCTGCTGGAGCACCACGGCATTGGCGTGCGCGATGCGTTGGCCACGCTGCCAAACATTCGCCGCCTCATGCTCCTCCTCTACGACTTCACCAAGGTGTGCACGTACCCCTCCTGACCGCATATCACTCTGCCTTGTTGTCTGCGACATGTGTGCGTGTGTGTGTGCACGTGTGTGTGTGCGTGTGCGTGCGTGTGTGTGCATATGTATATGTGTGTGTCTGTGTGTCTGTCTGTGTGTCTGTCTGTGTGTCTGTCTGTCTATGTGTCTTGTCTGTCTGCCTTCCCCCTTACATTTTGTGTCACTCACCACAAGCAACATGCTCTGGCACTGCCACCATCAACCAACACTTTGACACGACAGCAACACAACCCGGATCATGGCACCCCGGCATAGCGCATGGTCATCTGTTGTCCGCTGCGGCTCTTGTTGCGTTCATTTGTTTCGCGTGGTATTGTTGTAATGTTACCAATACATGGTTTACTGTTGGTTGTAGTTCAGCTGCGATGAGGTGGTTGGTGGGAGGGCAGTGAATGAAGGGGCAGTCGCGAGCGAGCAGGAATATAAATGAAAGGAAGATCGCGTACCAGACACACACACACACACACATAGAATCGATATGACACACCACCACGTGCACCTCATCACAATACACAATAAAACCACCACACACAACCGCGCTGAAACTAGTGCACACACCTGCTAAAAGCACGACAAAGAGGCTTAGTACAAGGGCCAAGAGCAGATAGAGCGGCATTCAGGGAGAAAGCGGTGACAACGAAAGCAGATTCCATGTGTGTGTGTGTGCGTGTGTGTGTGTGTGTGTGTGTGTGTGTGTGTGTGTGTAAGGTGAGCTGGAAGGGTGAGCTGAACAACACCGACGCTGCCTGCTGAGGCTCTCAATGTATTCACTGTGGCTGGGGTGTGTTTGGGACTTGTAGCAGCTCTGTGGCAGTGCTGGCAGCTCCTGTGTTGGCCTTTGCTGCGGATGACTCGCGCGGTCGGTCTCCGCGCCGAGATCTCGCTGCAGGGACGATGGTGAGCTGGTCCACTCGTGGGTTGGCGATGAGTTCTGCGGGCCCGTCTCGCGCGCGTGGGCCTGTTCCAACAAAGATGACGTCGTCGTTGTCATCCTTGCCAATGATTGTGGCCTGTGGTGCCACCTTGGCGGTGTTCTTTGACTTCAAGTAGCTCAGCACCGCACATCCCATCCAAGCCAGTGCGCACAACACGCCCACCACAATTCCCGCGACTGGGACATGTCCAGTCATGCCGCCGCGGCTGTTGGCGCTCTTTGCTCGTGTGCCTTCTTGCTTGCTTGCCTCTTCTTCTTCTTCTTCTTCTTCTTCTTCTTCCTCCTCCTCCTCCTTCACTTGTGCTATCTCTGCCCATACACCACCGCCATCAACACCCACTGCTGCTGGGGATGTCCTTGCTTGCCGGTCGGCCGTGAGCTTCAAGGTTGTGTCGTTGTCGTTGTGTGTGGGTGTTGTTGCCAACGAAAATCGCTCACAAACGCAAACAAACACTCGCCGCACACGAGGAAGGACAACAACATCCAAGACACTCAACAAGACAGCCAGATACACACGCCAGCGAACCAGCCAGCAGGGAGCGGGACGTATGGTGCTGGGAGAGTGAAGGGAAGACAAGCAGAGAGGAGACAACACGTTGTAAGCTTGCAGATACAGAGTGGAGTTTGAGAGACAATTGTAACCAAAGCAGTCAGTGTCACACTTGCAACAGCGGTTGACCGTTGCAGGCACGCAGCACGCATCAGCACACAACAAATCATGTTCACGCTGCTGCAAACGCTTGTGCGTGGGTGCCGCAGCACACCCACAGACTTGACGCTGGGCTTCCTTGGACCCGGTTCTGCGGGCAAGACCAGTATTGCGGCCGTGATTCGCGGAGGTGCGTGTATGTGTGTGCGTGTGTGTCTGTGTATGTGCGTGTGTGTGTGTGCGTGTACGTGTGTGTGCGTGTACGTGTGCGTGTGTATCTATGTGTGTGTGTGTGCGTGTTTGCGGCTGTGATGCTGTAGAACATGTTTGATTCACTTGTGCTGGCTGCTATCTCACGGGTGTTTATGATGGTGGGGATACAGAGCCGTTGGAGGAAGTCTCAGAGACCATTGGGCAGGATGTGTTCCACTTTCGGAGAAAGAAGGCCAACATCACCGCATACGATCTCGGTGGTGGCGAGCGCATTCGTGGCATCTGGGAACGCTACTACGCAGAGGTGTGTGCGTGAGTGTGCATGTGGATGTGTGCGTGACCGTGCATGTGGATGTGTGCGTGACCGTGGTTTGGACTTGAGAGGATTCCTCGAAACGGCAGAATGTCAACTACCACATCCACACATCCACACATATACACGCACACACACATTCACTCGCAGCTGTTCTCTCTCTCACTCACATTCGTACACTCACACACGTACACACACATGTCATCCCGCCACCCAATGCAGATCCACGCGTTTGTGTTTGTCGTGGATGCATCTCAGCCTCTGTCAGAGGCACGGGAGGTGTTGTGGAACATGCTGAAGCACGACTTTGTGGGCGGGAAACCAGTGCTTATCATGGCCAACAAGCAGGATGTGGACACGGCCAGCTCGGCGCAGCTCGTCTCACGCGAACTCGCCATTTCAGACCTTGGTACGTTCACTAACACAGCTACACAAGTGCGCGCGTGTGTGTGTGTGTACGTGTGTGTACGTGTGTGTGGCTGGCCCTGAACTTCCCATCGCATCGCGGATGGCGACGACTCAACTCCTTCTTCCATCCAAATGTGCTGGGCCATGCTTGTGACAGCGTCAACACATGGCAAGAGCCCTTTCCAGCTTGTGGAAGTGTGTGCAATTCACTCTTCAAAGGCTGGCATCCTCAAGGCTGTAAGTTGAACACCACACGACATGATGCGTGTGTGCACGTGTAGTCAGCCGCTGTATGAGGCCATTTGGATTTGGTCCTCCCACCTCCATCACTCATCCAAATTGCCTACGCACACACGCGCGTATGTGCTTCAGATTGACTGGTTGATAACGACGCTGTTGGAGGACTTTGAGGGCGCAACGCAGCGGCGCGCGAAAGAGATGCAGCAGCAGGCGGAGGTTGAGGCAAAGGAGATGAAGGAGAAGCAAGAGCGCATTCGGAAACGAAGGGAGGAACGCGAACGAAAGCGCGCACTGGAGGAAGCAGCACAACAACAACAGGAGCAGAAAGAAGGGGACGAAGGGCAATCAGATGCACACGCAGCGAAAACACCGGCAGATGGTCAGTGTGGAATGGAAAGCGCAATCACTTTACTCCACGTTCATGCAGTCTCCAATCCACCATGGTCATACACACGCACGCAACCCTGTGCGCACGCGCAAATATCAGCATTTGTCTCAGCTTGCCCTCACCCCTCTTCCACCACACACACACACGCACGCACACACGCACACATCCACGCACACATCCACACACACACACACATGTTCCACTGCCAAGCAGAGGGCTATCCACTGCCTGGAGAGGCGGTACCGTCATCGTCGCCACCCATCACGGCTGCCCCCGTGTCCCACGACCGCATCGTGCCGCTTACAGATACGGGCGATGGCGACGATGGTGACGATGGCACAGAGACGCAGCGAACCAGGGACGGCGGCAGCGAAGATGAGGGGGATCGTACATCGGTGAAGAACAGCGATGACCTGGAGGTCGAGGATATGTCGATGATGGGAAGCAGAGCGGAGGGGGGTGATGCGGAAGAAAGGACAAGCGACAACAAAGACAACAGCAGTGGCACCGGTGATGGCGATGGGGGTGATGCAGCGAAGCAGGACAGTGGCGAACAACCGCAGAAGGAGCCGTTGTTCTCGCGTGTGAATCCGCCGCTTCCGCAGTCGTTGAATACAGACGACAGAATAGCCGATGCATCGAGCAGGTCAAAGAAACAACCACAACCACAACCACAACCACAACAACAACGACAGCAGCAGCAGCCGAGTAGTGGTGTGAAATTGGCGCCGCTGCATCCACTGGATATCATTTCCGCGGCCAAGAGCATCAAGGACGCATCTCTTATCGAGCTCGGTACCAACCAACACACATACACAGTGTGTGTGTGTGTGTGTGTGTCTGTGTGTGTCTGTGCGGGTGCAGGTGCGGGTGTGTGTGTGTCTGTGTCTGTGTGTCTGTGTCTGTGTGTCTTCTGTAACATCGCATGATATTTCCACCTCTCACCCCGTGCTCGTGGCGCTGTTGCTTTGTCACTGCAACTGCTGCCGCCTTCTTCTTCTCCTGTTGTTGCTGCTGCTGCTGCTGCTGCTTCAGTGCGCGCGGCGGCGAAGGCGTACGCGACGCTCAAGGGCGAGCCCGTGCCAAGCGAAGGCGACTTGCAGTGGAAGATGTACCGTGCAGCATGCAAGGAGTGCTGGCAGCAAATAATCAAACAGGCGCGCAAGGGCAAGCGCTTCAGCATGGATCGCCTCGCTATCCAAGCACACACGGGCTGGTCCGCCATCGTCAAATACGTACGCGAGCACATTCATGATGCACACACAGACACTCACACACACACACACACACAGACACACACACACACTTTCTCTCGTTCCCCGGCGCATATGGTGTGTCATGTTTGTGGCCATGTTTGTGATCATGTGCTCTGCGTTCATTCCATTGTGTGCTGCCGTGACCTCATAACCCTTCTCACACACCTGTCCATACCCTAATTGGCTGCTGTACCAGGCGTGGGATGAGCGCGTGTACGGGCCACGACCACCGCAGCTGACGCCATCGCCAGAGCAGTGGCCGCGCGAGCACTTTGAGACAGACGCGGGATACGAGCAGTACCTGCAGCGGTGGGAGGAAGCACAGTCATTTGATGACCTCACATACGAACAGAAGGAACGCTATCGCCTCATTGCAGAGGTGAGGAAGCAGGGCATGGGGTGCAACACTGCTATGAATGGGCTTGGTCCTGCATGTCTGTGGCTGTTTGTGTGTGTGTGTGTGTGTGTGTGTGTGTGTGTGTGTGTGTGTGTGTGTGTGTGTGTGTGTGTGTGTGTGTGTTTGCTGTGGGAGTGTGAATGGGTTGTGATGAAAGTGTATTCCGCCAAGAACTCACCCTGTCCGCGCATCACGATTCCCTCACCCCCAATCCCCGTATGCGCCGTTTATTGTCCGACATCAAGGTTGAGCTGCACGTGTTCTTGCAGAAGAACCCGGCGTGGCGAAGCGTTCCCGTGAAGCACCGGCAGCAGAAGCTCTTTGAGTCGCTGCTTGTGCTCGAATGTGTTTCCCTGCACGAGCCACAACTCTCCTCCACAGCATAGTGTAACCAACCCCGAAGCCAAAGCCCTTACTTGATCTTGCACGCTTTGTCTCGCCTGTTGTTAGGATCGCTCGCTTCCCTCCAAACACGCGCGGATGGACTAGATTGCCGCCGCGAAAAGTTGCCGTGGCATTGGCGTGTGTTGGCGTGTAATGCGAAATGAAATTCGTCACAAATCACGTGCAAGAAAGATCCAGAGAAGAGTAGAGAGGGTACAGCGAAGAGAGACAAACGCAAGCCGACATGAGCGTGACTTAAATCAAGCTTCATCATCATCATCATCATCATCGTCATTGTGTGGGGCTGTCTCGTCATCGTCATCGTGTGGGGCTGTCTCATCATCGTCGTGTGTGACCGCGTCCGCATCACCATCACTCTGATCGACATCGTGGTCGTCATCATCATCCACATCATCCACATCATCATCATCATCACCATCATCATCATCATTCTCCTCTCTACTAGCATCACCCACATCCTCGCCACCATGACCATCGTCCACAACAGCTGTGTCGTCAACGGTGTCTGTCACCTCGTCGCCCTCGCCACCATCGTGTGCATCGTCGTGTTCTGCGTGGTCATGCGACGACGTCTTGACACGGTTGATGATGGCCTCCAGCTTCGCCTTGCGCTGGGCGTGCCGTTGTCTGGGTGGTGCGAAGCAAGTGAGAGCAATACAGGAGATATGGCGAGCCACGTGGATGTGCAAGGCCACTTCATTCAACCAACGAAACAAACAGACGAGCATACAAACATGCAAGCAACAACGAGCACTAGTTATGGCCGCACGCACACACAAACACACTCACACAGTGACATACACTTGTGCATATATGCACACGTCCCTTTACAAACCCACACACACATGCAACACACAACACATACGCAATGCACACAGGCAGGGCGGGGCACCTTGCGGACTGGCGCTCCTGCCGTCGCTTCATGAGGTCCTCCATGCCGGACTTGTCGGCCACCTCTGCAATGGCGCGCTGTGCGTCGAGTGTGCGCTGGCGGATGGAGTCCAGACGCGCCTGTTGCTCTGCGGCGTGCGTCTCCCGTCGAAGCTGGATAGCGAAGGGAGGGGGCAGCGGTAGTGATCATGCAAGTGAGGGCATCAGTGGCGAGGGAGGAAAGGCGAAATGGTGGCGGTTGTGGAGCAAGCGCCCGTTCATGTTCCTCGTGAGGGTTACATGCACAAGGGATTGACGTGCATGTGCGCGGATCAGACAACTGCACACACACACACACACACACACACACACACACACACACACTTTTGCTTCTTGGCGTCGTTTCTCTTCGGCGAGTCGCTTTTCGCCGAGAATTCTCTTCTGCTGCTCTTCTGTCTCGCGTTTCTTCCGCTCGCGCTCCTCCTTTGCCTTTGCGGCCTCCGCCTTACGCGCCGCCTCCGCTGCCTCCCGCCGCTTCCTGCAGCCGACACACACACACACACACACACACACACACACACACACACACACACACACACACACACACACACACACACACACACACACACACATACGATGACGTGAGGTGACGAAAGCGCTTGCCTCTCAATTTCAACCCTCAAGTGCATTCTTGTGATGATGCCCAGAGATACCACACACAAACACACAAAACGTTCACACTCACGCACACACGCACACACACAAACACAGATCATAAACACAGACATGCACAGCGCACCTTTCTTCCTCTGCCTTCTTCTCCTGCTCGCGTCGCTTGATTGCGTCAAACCAGTCCTCGCCATCGTCCACAACCGCCCGCCACGACTCTGTGTTGTTGTCGTCGTCGTTGTCGTTGTTGTTCTGTTCGCCCTTGTCTGCGGTGTGCGGTGTTGGCCCTCTGCCCTCCACCGCCTGCGGAGACGTTGCACCAGAGGCAGCCTCGCTCCCCGGCTGCGAGCTGTCCTGAGACATGACGCGCTTGGCGGGGGAGCGACGCGCCACAGTACGTGACCCGTCCTGTGTTGTGTTGTGGTGTGGTGTGGTGTGGTGTGGTGTGGTGTGGTGTGGTGTGTGCATTGTGTTGTGGTGTGGTGTGGTGGTGTGTTGTGTGGTGGTGTGTTGTGTGGTGGTGTGCGTCGTGTATGCGTGTGTGTGTGTGTGTGTGTGCGTGCGTGTGTGCGTGTGAAGGGGAGAGGAACGCGATAGCTGCGATGTTAGTGTGGTGCGTGCTACTGCGACATTTGACTGTGTGGGTGTTCGTGGGATTGAGCGGCCGACTTTGCGTGGATTACGCGCGTTCGTGCAGAGGTGCGTGCAACAGTGGGTCGTGGATGCAATGACAACGGCTGCAATTGATGGCACGCACCTGGAAGCTCTTCAGACGGTTGTCAAGCCCCTTTTTCTTCTTGGCGAGATGGTCGCGCCTTGGCCGTGCGCCTTGCGTGCGATCCACGCCCTTGCTGTAAGATCAAGCAGCGAAAACATTAGCGCACAAGCACCACCATCATCAGGACTGCAGCCCAAAGCGCGCAACTGCATGTGCGTGCATGTGTATGCGCGTGTGTCTGTGTTTGTTTGTGCTGGCAGCCTCGCTTCACTTCAGCAATCGACGTGCGCATGCAAAGATCATTCGAGACATGCACGAGCAAATGCACAGCGGAACAGAGAGAGAGAGAGACAGAGACAGAGAGAGAGAGGCGTGCTTGGCACAAGCGCTTGGACCCATGTCCTTGCGTACCGGGCTGGTGATCCAAGCGATGATTTGGCAGTGGACGGGCGAGACTTTGAGGAGCCTGTGGATGAGCTGGAGCTCGTGCGCTTCGACTTTGCTGCGGAAGTGGCACTCCCTGCAAAGGCACATGGTGTTGGATGTGTTGGCAATGGCAGAAGGAGGGGTGAGGCACTGCGCTGTTTCAAGCGATGCAAGCTTGTGCCAGCGCTGATATCACTTTTCAGGCGTTGGGGGGGGGGGCGTGGGGCATCAAGAATCCGCGCACAAAACTGGATCAATGTAAAAACAACGACAAGAACACACACACAGAGAGAGAGAGAGAGAGAGAGAGAGAGAGAGAGAGAGAGAGAGAGAGAGAGAGAGAGAGAGAGAGAGACAGAGAGACAGACAGACAGAGAGACAGAGAGACAGGCAGGCAGACACACACAGGCACACCAAACGCACAAACACACACAGACACACAAACACGCACAGACACACAAACACGCACAGACACACAAACACGCACAGACACACAAACACACAAATACACACCTGGGCGGACTTGGCGGGCGGCCCTTAAAGCACGAGCACGAGCGACGGGGTCGGTCGGCAAGGCATCCTCCTTCTTTTTTTTCTTCTTCTTTGCAATGGTGGCTGAGCTGCTGCTTGTGGTGGTTGTGGCATTGCTGCTGCCACTGCTGGCGCTGCCTGTGCTTGTGCGTGTCTTCATTGCACTGGTTGGCCTTGTGGTTCTGCTCCTTGCTGACGCTGAGGTTGTGCCCGCCGACGGCGATGATTTGGCTGAACTGCCACTGGTGCCTCTGCTCGTCGTGCTGCTGCCCACCACCTTCTTCCTCCGCACATCCGCCATGATGGTGGTGGTTGTTGGTGCTGTTGTTGCTTTGTGGCTTTGTTGTGGTTTGTTGCGCCGGCAAATTCAAATTGAGATATCCATTTTGTGCTGTCGGAGACGGCGTGTCAAGCGGCGCGGGCGTTGCACGTTGTGCCAGCCAGCACAACACGGTTGGAGGGTTGGTGCGTTGGTGCGTGAGCTGCAGGCAAGCGACAGGACAGGAGAACAATGGACCCGATGCATGGTACAACCGGCCGACGGGTCGGTGGCTCGTGGAAGTGTGGGGGTGGCCAAGTCGCTTGTGATACGGGTGGTGTCTGTGACACCAGCAGTGGCAGTGCCACACACAAAAACGGGAGCACACAGAGTGTGGAAGCCATTTCCTCCGCCATCCGCGAGACCATCTCCGAAGCTGTCCGAGCTCGCCCAGGGTTTTCCTCGGGGATGCCGACGCGACAAAGCGACAGCGTGCTGCATCGTCGATGCGCCCCTTCACATCCTCTTGAAAAGCAACGTGCAGGGCCCCTGTCATCCATCTCGCTGCCCTGCCTTCGCCAGTACACGGTAGCTGCAGAGGAAGGCCCACAGCACCAGCGCCACGGCAGCAGCCACCAACGGCGCACTCACGCCGCCACACATGCCACAAAACAACAACAACAACAACAACAACAACAACAACAACAACAACAACAACAACAACAACAACAACAACAACAACAACAACAACAACAGCCCACGCTTGCGCGCGCAGTGTCTGAGCAGGAGTGTGAGTGTGGGTTGCTCTGTGATGGGAACAGCGAAAGTGTCGAGCGTGCAGGCATCGGGGACAGCAAGGAGCGGGCTCCTCCGCGCAGCCCCAGGCCGCGCGCCCGTGACACCGGCAAGTCTGGCAAAACGCGACCACGCCGCTCATTTCCACCAGCTCTCACGGCAGATGGCAGCATCGTGTATCGTGGAGACGACATGCCACACCGGCAGGAGTTTGAAGCGGTGGTTGCACGTGTTATGCTGTTACAGCAAGAAATGAGAGCGCAAGCATCCCACAGGAAGCCCCGCCGCACCACCAAGACCACGTGACCACCTCACTCGCGCACATGTGCTTTCCGTCTCCCCGAACTGGAGGGCTTAAGCATGGTGGGCGGTGTACGCTCGCAATAGCTTCCTCCCTGGCAATGGCTGACCCGTGATGGGCAGATCTCATCCAAGGCGCAGAGCAGGATGGCGGCAACAACGACCCGCAGGGCGAGTGTCCTAAAGGTGCGTGAGCACTTGTGTGTGTGTGTGTGTGTGTGTGTGTGTGTGTGTGTGTGTGTGTGTGTGTCTCTGTGTGTGTCTGTGTGTGTCTGTGTGTCTGTGTGTGTGCCTGTGTGGTGTTGTTTCCTTGCTCACCCACCGCTGCAATTCCTATTGCTTCTCTCCACATAAATACCCGCGTACAGAGCCAACGAACCCGCTCTCAAGTCCGCCCAGCAACGGCCGCTGGTGACGCTTGCCGACAGTGCCGGCGGTGATGTGAGCCGCGTGGTGGCTCGAATCACCACGAGGATGGGCGTGCACGCGTTGTTGGGGGACATCAACTTGGTTTCAATGGACGAGCACGTCAGCCGCACTGTTCTGACACAGCGCGCAGAGCAATGCCAATAAAACTCGGCAACACATGAATGGCACAAGCTGCGTGGACAAAACAAAAAGGAAGGTCCAACACACCAACACGACCAACAACACTCTACACAACACGCCACCACAACTGACGACACGCCACCACACAACGCAACACAACGCAACGACCAGCCGCAAGCAGGGTGAAGAAGCACTCAGCACATTGACATGTGGCGGGGCCTGGCGGACCTTGGTCACATCAGTACCTGCAGCAGCAGCAGCAGCAACATGATATGCGCACGTGTGAGTAGACGTGGACACGTGAGGAACGAAACAGAGCCAATAACAGAGCACACAATCCAACCACACCCCATACCGCCGGGCGCTGGCACGATGTGTGTGCGCACCTGTCGTAGCGGGAGGAGCGGCGGCCCGGCGAGCGCGAACGGCGGCGATCCCGATCCCGCGAACGCGAACGTGAACGCTCTCGCCGGCTGCAGTGTCGTAGTCATGTTGGTGTGTGTGTGTGTGTGTGTGTGTGTGTGTGTGTGTGTGTGTGTGTGTGTGTGTGTGTGTGTGTGTGTGTGTGTGTGTGTGTGTGTGTGTGTGTGTGTGTGTGTGTGTGACATCCGCACAGTGCCAGCACTCGCTAAATCGAACCACTCACTGGAACAAAGCATGAAAGCCTCCGTACCTGCGACGGTCACGATCACGATCACGATCACGATCACGGTCACGGTCACGGTCACGGGAGCGAGAACGCTGGCGGGAGCGGGAGCGCCTGCTACTGCGCGAATCGTCGTCGCGGCGCCGGCTGGCATAACAGTCGAGACACGTGGTGTTGTAGACGGAGGGGGGGGGGAGGATGATGAACACATCACAACAAAGCATAAGCGAACAGAACTCGGAATCAGCGACACACGCATACACATGCACGCGCGCGCATACAGACACTCAAAGTCGGCAGCCAAGTCGGAGGCAGGGGAGAGAAAAGGGATCATGGGCGAGGCACCTTCGCGAGTCGTCGTGGGAGGGGACCTCTGCTATTCTGCGGTGCTTGTTTGGATCGTAGCGGCCCGAGGCCTTGATGTTCTGGTCCGGCCCGCCAATGCGCGTCCCACCGAGCCCGCCGCCTGCCGCGCCCATCAAGCCGTTCGTGTGAGATGACCATTTACCCACACAAGCAGCACTCAGTACAACACACATGCACGCACACATGCACGCGGAGTGACACCTATTTCGCGTCATCACGACACACAGCAGGAGCACGAGCAGGAGCACGATGAGGAGAAAAGACTGACCGAGTCTGCGGGGGAACCAGCCGTCGACGGTGCGGCCGCGCTCAAAGTCGACAACGATGCGCCGCCCATTGAGGCGCATCCCATCCGCATACCGGTACGCAGCTACGCCATGAACACGCACACACACACGCACGCGCACACGCACACACGCACGCACACACACGCACACATGATGATGAGATGATCAGAGGACGAGGGCGACGGAGATGAGCGAACGTACGCGAGGAAATGTGGCAGCGCGTGCAAGGGCTGTTGAGAGTTATAAGCGGTGGAGGCGATGTGCATCAAGAGGGGTGTTGGTGTACCTCGCATGTCGCGTTCGTGTTCAAACTCCACAAACGCGTATCCGCGCGGTTTGCCGCTGATTTTGTCGCGCACCACCGCCACCTGCAACCCCCCCCCCCCCCCATAAGCACGCGCAGGCACCAGCACGCACGCATAGGAGTGCACAGCGTAAGCGGTTGAAACAAGCTTGTGAGCGTGCGTGTGGAGACGCAGTCACGTACATGTACATGTGCACGACTCTTGTGTGCAGCCACAAGCTCGCTTGATGGCCAGCGCAGATGCGGGAAGGTATACCTGTCGGACTTTGCCGTATGACTCCATTTCCTTAAGGAGGTCGTCTTCCGTCACGTCGTAGTTCTGGATCGCACGAAGACAGCAACATCGTCAACCCAAACGCACAGACACAGTTGGTGACAGATGCAAGCAGGGAACGCGCCGGCAACCGGAGGGGAACGAAAGTACCTACACACACCCGCACACACACACACACACACACACACACACACACACACACACACACACACACACACACACGCACGCACACACACACACATCCCACCAGTCGGCCGACGAAGAGCGTCTTGTATGCATCGCCCTGAGCGTTTGGATCCTTCTCAGGGTCCCCTGTTGGTTGTTGGTCGATGGAAAGATAACAATTAAGGTTGGCAAGTGACAACCATTGGAAGTAACAACCATCAAACAGTTGAGCAAGCATGCGGATTGACAGCGTGCACAAGAGAGCAAAGGGTGGTACATTTGGACAGGGTTTGAAGGCATGTGCCACGTCGCCTTGCAACAGACAGGGCATGTGGTTGTGGTCTTGCCACGAAACGTACATTCATCACGCGCTTTCTCCAGCACCACTTTGTTCTTTTCCTCCGCGGCCTGGCGCTGTTGTGGATCCGCAAGACAGACAGCACACAAAGAGAGTTACATCCCATTGTACATGTCAGCGAGACAGCAGTTACATCAAGCGGCGTGAAATCGTTCCAGACAAATGCGCGCACGCACACTCGTACGTGTGTTGCACGTGTGTGTTTGCGTGTGTTGCGTTGTGTGTGAGTGTGCGTGTGCCATTACAGCCATGAAGATGGATACATGTGTTCACCTTCTTTGCCTTGCGCTCTGCTTTGTTCAAGGTGGGCTCAGCTTTTGGGGCATCCTTTGGATCCTCGAACTTGCTCACATAGGTTGCCACCCCAGACAAAGGCTGATTGTATGTCCTGCACACGTTGGGATTCAGTATTGTTGCAGTTGTGGAGTTGTGTTGTTGTGTGGGTGAATGGGGCAGCTGTCACATCGGCCAGAGGAACACAAAATCCATGCACATACACAGATCACACACACACACACGCATGCACGCACACACATATCACACACACACACACACGCATGCACGCACACATATCACACACGCACACAATACCTCTCGTGAGGTTCTGGTGCCAGGTCCTTCTCTGGAATTTGTGGCAAAGGCGGTCTGGGTTTGAACAAGTTCAACAGATAGGGTGGCAAGTACTTGGACATGGCTGCTGGCTCGTTGCTGGTTCGTTGCTGGTACTAGTGGTGCTGCTAGTGCTGCTGTCGTCGTCGTCGTCGTTGACTGGCTGACTGACTGGCTTGCTGGTCAATGTGCCCACTGCACTTGCGTGGTGGTGGAGGTTGTTGTAGGGTGGTGTGGTTGTGGTGAACGTCTGCTGCCAGTGGGTTGTTCCACAAAGACGCTCCCTCGGTCGGTCGATCGTGCTTTGTTACCGACACGATAAAGTGCAGTAAGTAGCCAGTGACCCTGAAATCAGTGTTAGATATTCAAACACGACGACGATGACTCATCATCGAGCAAGAAGGCTGTTTTGTGTGTTTTGGCTTGCTTCTTGCGTATTTTCCTTTTCCACCACTGACGCTCCCTCTCTTCTTCTCCCATCTCCAATCCAACATCGCCTGCCTGCCTGTCGATCCCACACCACCCACTCCTCACCACCCTTCCTCATCAACCTTCCTCACCACCCTTCCTCACTCCTCACCAACCTCACTACCACTACCAGCACCATGTGCGGCCGCGGCCCTCATCGTCGTCATCACCATCACCACCACCACCACCACCATCGCCCAGGTGTGGGTGCGTTTGTGGCTGGCGCCATGGTTGGATCGGCCGTCCGTGCAGCCACCCGCCCAGCACACCAGCGCCACGTCGTCGTGCACAGGACGGTGGTGCAGCAGCAGCCAGCGCCCCCGCCACCTGCCCAGTATGCTCCCGGCCCGTACGCTCCCCAGCCGCAGTACCCAGCATACCCACAGCCCCCACAGCAGCAGCACCAGCAGTATGCCCCGCCACCGGCTTACCCGCAGTACCCACCACAACAGCACCAGCACCAGCACCAGCAACCCCCGCCACCGGCCTCACACGCCTATCCACCAGCACAGGCACCGCCGGCCCAGCACCAGGCGCCTTACGCCCCGCCCCCTGCTAGCCAGCACCAGGCGCCTTATGCCCCGCCACCGCCAGCCCACGGTACAAGCCCATATGCGCCCCCACCAGCCACGTCTTCCCCATACGGGCAGCCGCCACAGCAGCACCACCAGCAGCCACCACAGCATCCTCCACAGTACCAACAGCAGCCGCCACAGGCCGGCCCATACGCCCAGAAGGGGCCCTACGGCTGAAAACACCCGCGCCTCACCATCCTAGTACTGCGTGATCCATCCATTGTCATGACTACTAACTTGCAGTGTTTATGACCTTGCGCCATCGCGCGCATGTATGGTGTTTCTCATTCCATTTCGTGTTTGCATCAAATTCGCCTTCGTGCGCGTTCACATGCGACGCCCACTGTATCCTGTTGCCCCTGTTTCATAGTCGCACATAGTCACGCGTGCTTTGCTTCATTCTTCCCATCCATCTTGTTGACTGGCGGTTGCCCGCCAGCTTTCCTTTCGTTGTGGTTGCTATCTTTCGCTTCCTGAGCAGCAGTCTCCTTTCGACACACATGCTTTGTTGATGTTTGGTGTGAATGAATGACCCTCCGCCCAATGCACATTCGTACACGCAATGCTGCGGTGTTGATGGTATTGCGGTTGCCTCTTTTCACTTCATGCATAAACGACCCAACAACGACACGGTGAAACGCTGCGCGCCAAGTGTGTTGCTAGTGAGAGGAAAAGGAGGCACGAGGCAGTTGGCAACGATAAAGCTGTGTGTGTGTGTGTGTGTGTGTGTGTGTGTGTGTGTGTGTGTGTGTGAAAATGAGGGAGGGGAAGCAGAGGACAGACACGCTCGCGTGGGCAAGGGCGAAGAAGAGACGTGATGGCACATCAACGCGTCTGCCGTCAGTCGTGGAGCCTGGGGTCGCAACTCAAAGCCTAGGCCTCAGAGAGGGCGTCAACGCCAGGGAGGGCCTTGCCTGCATCGTGTGCGGTGAAACGTCGTGCGGAGCAAGCGGTGAGGTGTTGGAAGACAAAGGATTGAAGAAGCAGAATGGATGGATGGAAGAACCACGCACCCACACATGAGTGCAGCATCAATGTGATCACAGGAGGCGCTGTCATCAGCAAAGAGCACGAAACCACACAGAGACAAGCCTGTTCTCCATCACCAACTGCAAGCGCCACTCCACACAACAACACTGCTGCACAGACAATCACCACCACCACCACCACCGTCATCACCACCAGCATCATCATCATCCATTGCCACCAGCATCGACACCCGCACGAACCTTCGAGGAGCTCGAGGGAGGCGCCGCCGCCCGTGCTGACGTGCGAGACCTTGTCCTCCGTGTTGTACTTGGCAGCGCACGTGGCTGTGTCGCCACCGCCAATGATCACGCAGCTGCCTTGCTCCGTGGCCTTCACGCACGCATCCATCACCCTGCAAAGAGCAGCGGTGGTGGTGGCAGTAGCAGCAGCAGTCCAGGTGTCAGCGGATGCGATGAGACAAGAGCATGTGTCGTATTTGGACAGAAACGGAGAAAAGGGAGGGCGAGAGGGGGACAAACAAACACACACACACACACACACACACACACACACACACACACACACACACACACACACACACACACACAATGACATGCGTCGCACTTGATGGTGCCGTTGGCGAACTTGTCAAACTCAAAGACGCCCATGGGACCGTTCCACACAATCGTCTTGGCGCGCAGAACAACCTCCGCAAACCTTCAGTGAACAACACACACACACACACACATACACACGCACACACACGCACACACGCAGGCAGGCGGTCGTGAGTGAAGGTGTGTAGTAACGATACATACAGGCGCACATGTGTGTGTACAAGTGCATAAATGTGAGTGTATGTACATGTGTGTGAGTGCGTGTGCACGGACGTGTTTGCGGACTTCTCGCCGACATCGAGGCCGAGCCAGCCGTCAGGAATGCCTGTCTCGTCCGTGGCCGTCGACGCGTTTGCATCCGCGCTGAACTGCACGCGCAACAGCACACAAGTAGGGAGGGAAGAGGTCGGGAATTGGACGGTGAGTCGGGAGTGTTTTGTTATGCAAGAAGGTTACATGACAAGCTCGCGCAATACTAAACACACACCAACTCGACAATGTGGTGGGAGCATTATGCAACTGGCAACGTGCACGGCACCTTGTCTGCGGTGACGTAGTCCACGGGGAGGTGGATCTGCACGTTGTTGGCCTTGGCCTTGTCCATGATCTTGCCAACAATCTTGGCACCCTCCTCGTCAAAGAGCGACGAGCCAATCTGCGCCCCGCACATCAAACACCACATCACAACACATCGCATCATGTCATGTCACGTCACGTGTCACGCCACATCACCAACACCAACAGCAAATACATGTCGGCAGTTGCACAAGGAAACCCTGGCGGTCCGCCACACGCGGCCCTTTGCTCCAGCGCGGCGCGCAAACGCACACCCATAGAGGGAGATCAGGGAAGCAAGGGAGGGAAGCAAGGGAGGGAGTGTACATGTGTGACAGTGAAGGAGAGTACACAACACAGTGCTGTGGTGTTCGTACGTTGACGCCGTTGAGAACTTTCTTGAAGGTGTAGGCCATGCCGCCGCCAATGATCATCTCGTTCACCTGCGCGCACACACACATGCCATGTCAGGCGACATCATTATGCAAGCATCTACACACACAAACAAACAAACAAACAAACAAACACACAAACACACACACACAAAAACAAACAAACACACACACACTCTCTCTCTCTCTCTCTCTCTCGCTCTCGTCCCCCAAACAGCCGCATACGCGCCCGATTTGTGCGGGCACCTTGTCGAGGAGGTTTTCGATGAGCTGGATCTTGTCTGCCACCTTTGCGCCGCCGAGAATGGCGAGAAACGGCCGCTCGGGGTTGTCCAGTGCCTGGAACGCACAAATATAAAGGGGTGGGGGTGAACGCATGTGAGTGGCACGTGGCACCGGTGCAGACAAGGGGAAACACTGTGGTGTATGTGGTGGGCGTGCGTGTGTACCTTTGCAAAATACTCGAGCTCGCGCTTGAGGAGGAAGCCCGCGGCCTTGATGGGCAGGTCAACACCAACCATCGAGCTGTCACAGACGAATGGCACACATACACATACACACATACACATACACATACACATACACACATACACACATACACATGCACATACACATGCACATACACATACACACGTACACATACATATACACATAGGAGTGAGTGAGTGAAGGATGAGGCAAGGCAATGGTGGAGAGCACAGCACGCAAAAGATGTGGGAGCGAACCTGTGGGCGCGGTGGGCAGTGCCAAAGGCGTCGTTGATGTAGACGTCACCTGAACAGCCAACATGCACGCGTGCCGTGGGTGAGACCCAAAGGTGGAGGCAGCGGTGGCGGTGATGGCCGTGGTGGCTGTGGATGACGCGCAGCCAGAAAGTGTGCACAAGGATAGACAAGACAAGGTGTGAGGTGCCATGGCGGCTGTGCAGTCGTGACACACCAAGGGACGTGAGGGACGCGCGGAACTTGGCAACAGCCTCCTTCTCTGGCTTGAACTGCAACACAAACACACCCGTGATGCGCAAAGTAAGATCAGCAGTCATGACATGATGGCATGAACCCTGGCTCGCCACGACCAAGAACACGTGCATGCACGCACACGGACAAACACAGACACAGAAGCAAGCACATACAAACACACGCAAACAAATGCACACACACGCACCTTGTTGCCCCCTGCGTCCTTGCCCTTGCCTTCCTCTTCAGGGTGGAAGCGAAGGTTCTCCAGAAGGATCACAGTGCCTGACGACGTGCGTGTTCAGCGAGAGCGTTCTCATGTGAGCAATAGTGCCTCTGCAGGCTAAACCACGCATGCGCAAATGCGTGTGTGTGTGTGTGTGTGTGTGTGTGTGTGTGTGTGTGTGTGTGTGTGTGTGTGTGTGTGTGTCAGGTGTGTCTGCATGCGTGCATGTATGCAGCATGCACGGGCGTACCTGGGGTCGGGTCCTTGCAGGCAGCCTCGACGGCGTCACCAACGCAGTCATCGAGGAACTGCACAGGCCTGTAGCAATGGATTGGTTGGTGGATGGATCAATGGGAAACGAGCAGGCGTGTGAGCAGTTGTGACCGTACGCATAAGAACATGAAGCAAAGAAAGCGTGAGCAGTGCTCACACACACACACATGGTATATTGGGATGAGAGGGCTTCAGCAACAGGTTTGTACGTGTGTGCAGAATCAGCAGAAGCACAGGTACTGCAAGAGATGTTTGAGCGGTAACGGGCTCAGAGCACACGAGCACGCGTCGAATCTCGCTCGCACCAGCTCCCCCCTCTACCCAACATGCATGGACACGAACCGGCCGAGAAGGGAGGAGAGCTCCGTGGCGACGGGCTTGAGGGACAGGCTTGGCTTGACGTTGCCCTCGGGGCGGCCGAGGTGGCTCATGAGCACAACGCTCTTGGCGCCGTGTTCCAGGGCGTGCTTGATGGTGGGCAGGGCGCCCACAATGCGCTGGTTGTTGGTGATGTTGCCCTCCTTGTCAAAGGGAACGTTGAAGTCCACCCTCATCAGGACGCGCTTGTCCTTGAGGTCGACGTTGTCAATGCTGAGCTTGCCCATGCTGGATGATGTCTGTTGCGCGCGCGCGCGTGTGTGTGTGTGTGGTGTACGTGTATGTGTGTGTGTGTGTGTGGTGTACGTGTATGTGTGTGTGTGTGTGTGTGTGTGGTGTACGTGTATGTGTGTGTTTATGTGTGTGTGTGAGGTGTGGAACATGAAGAAAAACCCATGAGCATTGATAGCAAGCAAGATGTGTGGTCTTGCCCAAGCCAAAGCACATAAACAACACGCACGCACATACATACATACACACAAAACGTGCGCTGCTGTGCTGCTGCTGCAAACAGAGAGCGATCTCCCTCCCTTCCTCCCCTCCTGCCCTCAGCCACAACCTTGGCAGCTGTGTGCGCTCTCGCCCGTGCTGTTGCTGTTGCTGTGAGGTGGTTGTGATTGTGGCTGTGGCTGCGGCGTTGCACAAGGGACGACCACGACGGGCACACGCACGCAGTCAGGCGGCTTGCACGCAAAGCCAAGCCCGGAAGACGTACCACAGGGGAGAACGTGGCTGGTGCTTGGATCAACAAGATGATGAGGGGGAGCAAGACGGAGGAGAGACGCACGTGTGGCTCTTGGTGAATGCCTGCCTGCTGCTAACGGCTCTGATAGTGAGACAAGTGCCAGTGGGAACGAAGACGAAGAAGAAGAAGCAAGCAAGTGTGTGTGTATTGCTTCTTGCTTTGCTTGTCAGATTTTCTTCCTTCTTCACTGACAACAACCCGACACTACGCAAGACAGCAAGAAGACAAACCAAACAACATTGAGGGTGGTGTTTGCGACTTCTGCGAGGGCTGTTGGCTGCTGCTTGTTGGGTGGTGTGAGCGGCATTGTTCAGCGTGCACGACGCCGCATAGATAGGTACCGAAGGGAAACAACAGAGCGCAGGCCAAGCAAGAGTGCAAGCGCAGTGGGGGGCACACAAGACTGGCGGCACACAGGCGAGCAAGGCATCGCAGCTGCACATCCTTCGTCCAGCATGCCGTCGCGCATGATGTTGAAACTTGCGCGATACGCGCTCGTGTTTGCTGGAGGCATCGGCATTGGCATGCTGGCACACCACCTCCGCTCCACCCGCGTACATCCACACGCCTTTGTGTTCATCGTCCGTCTCAAATTCAAGGTATGTGTATGTGTGTGTGCGTGTGCGTGTGTCTGTGTGTGTGTGTCTGTGTGTGTGTGTGTGTGTGTGTGTGTGTGTGTGTGTGTGTGTGTGTGTGTGTACGTGCAAGTGTGTGTCCATGTGAATTTCCTTCCAGCCAGTCACGCTTGCACTCTTATACGTTTACGTAATCTGTCCCCCCCCCCCTCTCTCACACTCCCTCCACATTCTTCCCCTTTCCTTGCTCTGCAACTGGTTGCAGCCGGGCGCCGTCACCGCGTTTGTGGAGCGCTGGGCGGCGCTGGCCAGCCACTGCCGCCAGAGCGAGGAGAACACATTGACCTACGAGCTGTGCTACGACCTTGCAGACGAAGACACGGTCATGATCTACGAGCGATACTGCTCCAAGGCGGACCTCACCAATATCCACAACAAATCCGCCCCCTTTGCACGGGTACGCTGGGCACTGGCCTCCTGCGATGACAGTCATCTCCCTCATTCATTGTCTACGGGTTTGCATGCCCTTTTCTCTCAACACATCTTCTCGTGGTGACCCTCTGTTCCACTGTTCACACACTTGCGCACACTTGCACGCACACACACACACACACATATACACACATACACGAACACACACATACATGTACACACACATATACACACATACACGAACACACACACACACACAACCACACACACACAGTTGAACAGGTGGCTGGCATCTGCAAACATTGTGCTGGAACGAGAAGTGCTTGAGTACCAAGAGTCAAATATTGGATACATCGTCAGGAGATGATGGCGACGTGGGTTCTGCTTGTCTCTTGCGTCTCTTCCTCCCCTCCCTTGTACCGGTTCCCTCTCCCTTGTCTCTTCTGTTGTCCCCTGATTCGCTTCCTTGTTGCTCCCGCCGTGTTGGTGTTATTCTTGATTAGCATGACGTGTCAACTTGCGTCTGTGTGCTGACGGTGTGCGCGACGAGTGCCATCTTCAGGAATATGGATGAAGCCCTTACTCGTCCCTTGTTCCTGCATGCCATGCTGTTGCCTTCACCCAATACCCCCTTTGTTACACTCCCCACGTGCCATGCCCGCTGTGCGTTGCCACCACCAACACGCTGTTTGCCCGTTGCGGTCTTGCTGTTGTCCAGTGTTGCTTGCTCTCGCCTTTTGGCTAGCGTTTGCTGCCTTGGCTTGTGGTTCCTGAACAATGCATCCCTTGTAACCGCAGTGCCAATGTGCGGCTCGTCACGTGTGTGCGCGTGTGTAGAGTTTTCATTGGTCAGCGAAAAGAGGCTGACATAATGCGAGAGAGTATGTGTGTGTGTCTGTGTGTCTGTGTGTCTGTGTGTGTGGAGGGGGGACAGAGAGAGAGAGAGACAAAGAAAAACAAGGGCGTAATGACAATCGAAAGCAAAAGCAAAAGCAAAAACAAAGAAGCAAGCAATGAAAGGTAGAACACGTGTGGAATGCGAGAACAGCAACATCAGCTCATGTGTGAAACAACACACGACACGAGTGCCATGTCAACAACAAAAACAACAGCAGCACACACGCTATCGAGGAATCAATTACATATGGGGGCGACGCGTCGTGCCCTGCTGCTCACGCAACAGACTCGTAAGGGTCCGACGTCTCAATCGTGGTTGGCAGGTCCGCACTCAGCTGCGTCACAATCTGCCCGCCACCGAGTTCAACATCATCGCCGCCACGTGCGCCCTTGCCTCTGCCTTTGCCACCGCCATTGTCCGCGGGGGAGTGTCCGGACCCTGCAACGCCGCTGTACATGTTTGCGGAGCGGGCAAGCGGGTTGATGGTGATGCCCGCAGCAGCAGAGGCTGACGTGTGGATGTCTGCAGCGGCAACGCGCCGGTTATATGCCCCTTGCCCTGATGTGGTGGTGGTGGTGGTGGTGGTGGTGGTGGTGGTGGTGGTGGTGGTGATGATGATGATGATGATGATGATGATGATGATGATGATGAAGGTGAGGTTGTTGCTGTTGCGTTATGTATCGCAGGTGAAGATGATCAGATAGGAGAACGTACTGTTCTTGGCTTTGACGCTGACGAAGATGACGACTGCGATCAAGATAATCCCTGCAGCCACGCCGACGGCCGCGCCCGTCTCGCTACACACAGACGCAGATACACACACACACAGACACGTGTTCACACACATGCAAAACAAGAGGAGGAGGAGGAGGAGGAGGTGGTGGTGGTGGTGGTGGTGGTGGTGAGCGGAATAGTTTTGTTTTTGTTTTTTTTTGGGGGGGGGGGAGGGGGAGGGGGGGGGGCACTTGCTGCGTGTGTGAGGTGAGTACAGCACATGTGATGAGGATGGTGACGACACAACAGTTTCGCACTTACGTCATGCCCCACTTGAAACCCGCGGATCGACCTACACATCCAGCAACAACACCAGAAAGGGGTGAGTTGGTCAACGGGCTGTGTGTCTCTGTGCCTGTGTATGTCTGTGTGTCTGTGCATGTCTGTGCATGTCTGTGTTTATGTGTCTGTGCCTGTGTCTGTGTCTGTGTCTGTGTCTGTGTATGCGTATGTCTGTGTGTGTGTGCCTGTATGTGTATATGTGTGTATCAGATCGCCAAACGCAACTCAGGACCACATTCGCAACCCATTTGTGATTCACATAGACACACACAGCACAACACCTGCTTCTGGCGTGGTTGCTGCTGGGTCGGCGGTGGTGGTCGACCCTCCGCTCGGGCCCGTGCCAGGCTGTGCACCGGTACCGCCTGTCACTGTCGTTGTCGTCGTCGTTGTTGTTGTTGTGGTGGTGGTGAACACGTCCTGTGCAATGGGGACGGGGGCGCCATCAATGTTGATGGATGCGGCGGCGAACAGGCGGCTTGACAGCACCGCCAGCGGTACATTCTCGTCCGGAACAGCGATCGTCACCCGCACACTCAGCGCATTCACCGCGCTCACCTGTGTGTGTGTGTGTGTGTGCGTGTGTGTGTTGGGGGAGGGGGTTGGGGAGGGGGTTCGTCGTGGTTCGTGTGAGTGAATGTGTTTGTGTGTGTGTGTGTGTGTGTGTGTGTGTGTGTGTGTGTGTGTGTGTGTGTGTGTGTGTGTGTGTGTGTGTGAGTGTGTGGAATGGAAGTCAGTGTGCAAGTCAGTGTGCAAGTCAGTGTGCGAGAGAGTGGAAGTGAGTCAGTGTGGGGTTGGCGTGCAAGGGGTGACGTGCTGTGTGCATGAGGGACGGGCACATGTGCGCAATGCATGTGTCACGCACGTCTGTGATGTCGATATCAGCAGTCGTTTGGAGAGCAGTCTTCAGCGCAGCAATGACGGCTGCAAGCATATCACCCAGCGACACAAGGGGCACAAGTGAGTGCATGACAACAGGCCCCACCGTACGCGTGCACATGCATGCGAAGCCTGCACCCAGAGCGAGGAACCAACAGAGGGAACAACACATGCGCACAGTGTGTACGTGTGTGTGTGTGCGTGCGTGCGTGTGTGATTGTTTGTTTACCTGCGCGCCCGTCTGTGGTGAAATCGCCTGCAGACATCTGCACAAGTACACGGGAGCAAAGCAGTGGCCGACGAATATGGTGGTGAGGACGGCACAACAGCATCAGGGACACAAACACGCACGGAAACAGATCCCAAATGTCCACACATCCACTTACACATCCACCTGCACATCCACCTGCACGTTCACATGTATACACGGGGCACACGTGCAGCGGCACTTACATGAGGCGCCAGCATGCTCTTCAGAAAGTAGCTGTGCAACACACCTGTTGTTGTCAGAACAAACAACCACACACACACACACACACATACACGCACATACAAACACACACACACGCACACGTGAGCAGGTATTAAGATGTGAACGAACAAAGAGCTGCAAAGCGTGACACACGGGGAGGCGAAGAAGGCAACATGCGCATGCGCATACAGCGCGTGCAATGTGACAGTGTATGCGCGTGTGCATGTTGTGCGTATTGTGTGTATTTGCACGTGTGTGAGAGCATGAACCCACGTTGGCCAAGGCAGACGCCCCGATCTGTGCATGTGTCTCCCTCGGTTTCTGGATTGCCGTCATCACACATGTTGCCACCACCCTGTGTGAACGAAACAAAGCATAGACAAAGGCGATGTTATGTGTCGTTCAACGGTTCACACGTGCGCATGTGCATGTGCGCATGTGCGCATGTGCGCCGCACACACACACACACACACACACACACACACACACAAGCACATACACACAAGCAAATACACACACAGACGCACGCACGCACACGCCATCAGTGCTTACCGGGTACTCGTCGCGCACTAGCTCACAGTTGAGCTCGCCTTCATGGTTGAAGCGAAAGAAGCAGTGCTCGCCGGTGTTTGCACAGCACGTGGCAAAGCACGCCGGGTCCTGGCGCACGTGGACAAGAAACTTGCGGCCACTGTTGCATTCGCTCTTCTTGTCGGAGATGAAGTAGATGGTGTCATTCACGGAAAAGCCCTGGCACCACAAACCAAATCATACAGACAAGGAGGGGGGGGTTCAGGAATAAGCACGGGTTGGTTGAGCTCAACCACGCATCGAGGCCGCCCACGCCAAGCAACGCAGTCACGCAACATTGTCCTCACGTACCGTCAATGCAATGTCTTTCCAAGGGTGCCGGTCCGGCGCCTGTGCTTGTGGAACTGGGATGTAGAGCTTCTCTGTTCCGCAGTACTTGGCTTCGCCGGCGTTTGGATCCAGGGAGGCGTCGCACTCATCGTACGCAGCCTTGTTGACGATTTGAAACGCAATGAGACCGCCAGTGCAGGACTGTGCGTACACAAACCCATTGGCGTACATCTGGTAGCGAAGAAAGGTGTCGGGAACATGAATGTCATGAGCACAAGGTCACACAACATGCGGCTCCACTAAGCAGACGAACGTTGTGTGTGTATGTGTGTATGTGTGTGTGTGCGCGCGCATGTGTGCGCATGTGTGTTTTTGTGTGTTTCTGTGTGTGTATGTGTGTATCTGTGTGGTTTTGTGTGTGCATGTGTCTGTGTGTCTGTGTGTGTCTGTCTGTCTGTCTGTCTATCTCTGCGCATGTGTGTTGCAAGACAAGTGCCATCATGGCATGACTGGAGAGAGTCTCTTGCCTCCTCATCCTCGAGCAACCCGACACCACCCAACACCCCAACACCACCCAACGCACCTCGTAGCCACCAGGAGGCATGGTGTCCAGATGTGGGTCGATAACGTCAATCTCAAAGGCAGGCTCAGCGCGTGTGGTCGCAGGCAGCAGCACGGCCACCGCTGCCGCCGCCGCTGCCACGGCCACTAGCAATCTCAACAACATCATTCACGTCCTTCTGGCTTGCGCTTGTTTGCGCTTGCTTGCTTGCTTGCTTCTTGCTTGCTTGCTTGCTTTCTTGCTTGCTTGCTTGCTTGCTTGCTTGCTTGCTTGGTTGGTTGCTTGGATCCTGGGCTCAGCACCGTCCACCACACCACACCCTTCTTTTCTCTTTGCTGCTGCGCCAAATCCAGCTCAGGCGACGCGGAAATGTGGCCATATCTTCACGCATTCGTCCACAACCACCACTGCGAAGCAGATAAGGCAACAAGAAAGCAAAGCTGCTGAGCCTTTCGCGCGCACAGCACACACACTTGCTGAGAAACACACGTAGCACACGAAGGAACACAAAAGGGCACTGTGGTTGTTGGCGTCGTTGAAGCATGGCGGCGTATTACCTGACGTATGCCGTCAAGCCCACGGCTGTGACAGAGGCGCTCACCGTCAACCTGTTTGAGGCAGACTCGCCATGCTTGGTGTTGGCCAAGTCAACCCATCTGCAAGTGTTCAAGGTGAGGTGGCTCAGCGAACCATGATGTGCATGAATGATCAAGGAGCGACAAGTGCTGGATGGTGGCAGTGACGATTGCCCTGAATGCTTGGACCCTGGTACATCCTCGGCTCCCCTTTTTGCTTTGCTCCTTCCCACAATATCTGTGTGGCTCTCACACGTTGGGGTGGGGGGGGGGTTGTTTTTTTTTTTCTGTTGTTGTTGTTGTTGTTGTTGACCTTGCGCTGGAGCACAGATGGGTGAGCAAGGGCTGGAACCTATTCACGACTACCCCGTGTACGGCAAAGTGGCATGCATTCGCAAGATGACATTCCCTCAGGTTTGTCTTGAGCCGAGTGTGTGTGTGTGTGTGTGTGTGTGTGCCTGTGTGTGTGTGTCTGTCTGTGTGTCTGTGTGTCTGTGTGTGTGTCTGTCCGTCTGTCTGTCTGTCTGTGTGTCTGTCTGTCTGTGTGTTTGTGCTGTGCCTGTCGATTGTATGTGTCACCGAGCTCTTGCCTGCGCGCACACGAGATAAATAGCTCACGACCATGTCCATCCTCCACTCCCGCTGCTGATGCTGTGACAGATGAAAGGCCTTGACTCGCTCTTGGTCATGACAGATGACATGCGATTTTTTGTGCTCACCTTCAACGAGCACACAAAGAAACTAGAAACACACACCAACGGCAACCTCCTTGTACGCCCATGCTACATGCCATTTGATTTTGGGTTTGCGTCATTGTTGCACACGTGCGTCGGACGTGTGTGACATGTGCGTGTGTGTTCTTGTTCGTACGCGCACGCGCGGTCGCACTTCTGTTGCCGACATGTCCACATGGGGTGTGCTCATCAACAACCGCTCCATAACGACGATGTATTGGGCTGCAGAACCCAAGCTCGTTTCCCATGGAGACCGGCCCGCTCGTTGCTGTCGACCCAGACTGCCGCGTCATTGTCATGGCAATGTACCCTGGCCTCGTCAAGGTGTGCGCACATGCATGTGTGCATATGTTTGTCCGTGTGTGCGCGAGCGTGTGTATGTGTAGCTACTCCTGTTCTCGAAGTCCCCGCCCTACTCGTGCCTCCCCCTTGCTTAATCGCCCGCGCGGTGCCCGTCCTTACTTTGCCCCACACACCCTGCCAGATTCTGCGCATCCACGGGTGCAAGTTTGAGGAGGAGGCGAGCGAGGCGCGGCTGGATGCAGACCAGGTGCTGTCCATGGCCATGCTGCACGGCTGCGCAGAGCCAACACTCGCCGTCCTCTGCCAGCGCGCTGACCAGCGCTTCGTCAAGCTCATGCGCGTCACCGTACGTGCCCGCAGAATTGCGCGTGCTTGTTTGTGTGCGTGTGTGTGTGTGTGTGTGTGTGTGTGTGTGTGTGTGTGTGTGTGTGTGTGTGTGTTTGTGTGTGTTCGTGTGTTTGTGTTTGTGTGTGGGTGTGTGACATGCATGGCTGCATGCATGCTCTATGTGAGCCTTTTAAGTGCAGTGTCTTCGCCTCTCTGGCTGTGACAACGCCTCACGTTGCCACGGTTGTACGCACATGTGCATGTGTGCGCTCATGTGCTCATGTGTGTGTGCATGCGTGTGCAGTCCCGCAATGAGCTGGTGGAGGTGTCATCTGTGTGGAAGACGCGACTCGAAGGCGCCGTGCCAGATTCGGCCCACTTTCTTCACCCAGGTACACGCATGAGATCACATTTTCACACGGTCTTGGTTCCACGCGCTGATGCTTGCAATGCCCTGCAACATTCTGCGCTCACACGCACACACACACACTCTCTCTCTCTCACTTGCATGCACACACACTCACACATGCACACACACACATACGTGCACACTCACACATGCACACACACACATACGTGCACACACATACACAATGCACGCCTTCGCCACTTGCCGTGCCTGCTGCCGCCGCCGCAGTGCCCAACACGAGCGAGGGGTGCCTGGTGTTTGGGGCGGACGCGGTTGTGTATGCGGATGCAAACGGATACAAGGCGGCGAGCATCCCCGAGATGATGGTGCAGGCCGTGGCCGACGTCGACGACTCGGGCGCACGCTTTCTCATTGGTGAGGGGCTGGGATCGGCTTTTCGGCATTGGCTGGCAGGGGAATTGTTGCCGACGCATGCAAAGTGCACACACACATACTCACAATTGATCAAATTCAACCATCATCCGACACACTTCACAATGCAAATACACACGCGCATCGCACACACACTCACACACGCCCTTGCACATGGTTACCCTCACAAACCCCCTACCCCGCTTGGCACGTGGCAATGCGGTGTCTGCCGGCGGTGCAGGCGACAGTCTCCGGGGCGGACTCGCGCTGCTGGTGCTGGAGCGGGAGGAGGACCAGGTGCAGCAGATTGTGTACGAGCCGTTTGGCGAAACAGTTGCGCCGTCCACGCTCGCGTACCTCGACAACAGCGTCGTCTTTGTCGGCAGCGTTGTCGGCGACAGCCAGGTGATTGCCAAATGGGCTTGCTTGCTTGCTTGCTTGGTCGACTCTTTTGTTGTCCGGCTGGCTGGCTGAGGGTGAGAAAGAGGGGGGAGGGAGGGCTCCATGAGGAGGGTGGTCTGCAGTGTTGGATTTGTCTGCAGGCTATGCTGTTACACCGCTGATGCTCCCCGTGCATGTGCTGTTTCACTTTAGGTGGTCAAGCTGGAGACCGACGACGACAACCAGAACAAAATCATCGTCCTTGATGTGCGTATGCTTGCCTGTGCTGCCCTGTACTCTCTTCCATTCTCCCCGTCCTCCACCCGTTGACATCTGCCCACCTGCCCACTTGGCTCACATGTGTGCAGTCCCAATTCACGTGCTGACCAATGTCCTGCGGCTGTCTATATCGTGTGTCTGCGTACGTCTGTGTGTATGTATGCATGCCTGCACATATTGCACATATGTGCGTCTACCTGTGCGCTGGCGTGGCTGCAGACACACGAGAACATTGGGAGCGTGCTTGACATGTGCTCGCTGCCGCAAGCGTCGTTTGGCGAGACGCGGCTTGTAACGGCATCTGGGGCGGGCAAGGACGGCTCCCTGCGTGTGATCCAGCGCGGTGTCAACATCACGAGCTCGGCAACCGTGCAGCTCGACGACCTGCAGGTAAACCCCCTTCCTCCTCCCTCACCTTCATGCCCCATCTAGGACGGCTGTACACAACACACATGCTTACACGTGTACATGCACACGCACACGCGTACACGTGCATGCACATGGAATCACATGTATGAGTGTGTGTGTGACGCCGCCTCCTCCCGTCCACTGCCGCTTGTGTGGTGTGTCACGTTTCTTTGGTTTGTCTACGACTCGTTGTCTGTGTGTGTGTGTGTGTTGTTGGCCCTGTTGCCTGACATGTGTATGTGCGTGTGACTGTTGTGATTGCAGCGTGTGTGGGTGCTCACCAAACCCAGCGGAGAAGCAGAAGCAGCAACAGAAGAGAGTTTTCTTGCCCTCTCCTTTGCCGGCGGCCTCGCTTTTCTCCAATTCGAGGGCGAAGAGGTGCGCACAACTGCGCATGTGTGTGTGTGTGTGTGCGTGTGTGCTTGCTTATCTGTCTGTTTGCCTGTTTGTCTGTTTGTCTGTGTTGCCCGTTGTCGGCATGTAAGCCGGTTGTTGCTGGTGCAGTGTGCGCATGGATGATGTAAGTTGGTGACACCTCGTTGCAGTCACGCATGTTTACGTTGTGTTGCCCTCCTTTTGCTTGAACTCACATACGCACACGCTCGCACACACACGCACATGCACGCACACGAACATGCGACAGCTGTGTGGGTTTGAGGTTCCGTCGGCACCGTCCGACCCTGCACTACTCTGCTCCAACGTTGCAGAGAATCAGGTCCGCACCCAGCAGCTAACCGTTTCCGCGACGTCCTTGTTTTGCAAGTCACTGCACGTTACTGCCACGAATTACCCCATTTTGGACACCCATACATGCACCCAACACACTCACATCATCACCATCCGCATCATCATCATCATCATCTTCGCCATCACTACGACCCCTACACGTGCGTGTATACGATAACGGTACCGATCAGTGGCTGTTTGTGACGGAGGATGAGGTCGTGCTGGTGTGCGCCGAAACACTCGCTCGCGTTGCGGAATGGAAAGCAGCAGAGGGACAGGTGCGTGCATGGTGAACGCAACACACAGCAGCGAGGAGGGAGGGAGCGGGATGATGGTGGTGAAGAGGTGCTTTGTTATTCATGTTGCCGTACTCATTTGAGTTGATTGAACACGGCGCACTTGTTGAGTGCCTACACCCTGTCACATCTGCCCTCGTTAACCCCTGAAGGCCACTCTAACAACGTTCCTGTAACCACGTGCCCCATGCACCGCCCGCGATGTCACCACTGTCCACAACAGGCCATCGGTGCATGCGCGTGCAGTGAGAAGCAGCTTGTGGTGTCGAGTGGACGACAGCTGCTCATCTTTGAGATTGCAAAGGGAAAACTCACGCAAACAAAGGACACAACGCTGGAGCACGAGCTCTCGTGTCTTGGTCAGCCATGCGGTGTTGTTGTGGGCCGTGTGTTCCACGCGTCTGTGTGTGTGTGCGTGTCTGTATGTGTGTGTGTGCGTGTGTGTGTCTGTGTGTGTCTGTGTGTGTGTGTGCTGGTCATGAAAGCGTGCCTCAACGCTAGCAGCTCACATGCACCCTGTGCCTGTTTGCACATGCCTGCCTGCATGCGTCTAGACATTCTTCCCGTGAACGATGACGGCACGAGTGTGATGGTTGCGGGCACGTGGAACGTTGAAGCGAAGGTGTACCACCTTCCCTCGATGCGCGTTGCCTCCTCAGCACCGTTCAAAGCCGGTGTTATTGCAACGTCGTGCGCAATCACGCGGCTTGGCGATCAGAACGTCGCGTTCTTCGGGATGGGAGACGGATCCGTGGTCCGCTACATCTTTGCCGAAGGCAGTTGTAAGTTGGCCGCTAGCATTGCTTTGGGTTTTGCATGTGCAAGAAGGGAACAGATACGCACACACATACACACACATGCGCATTCTCTTTCTCTGTGCACCCGTGCGTGCACTTGGGTGAACGAGAATGCTTGCTGCACCATGCCCTACCTGCTGCCATTGCGACTGCTTGCCGACTTGACATGATGTGCCGGTGTGTTTCCATCCAAACAGGGCATATGACCAACCAGCGACACGTGCATGCAGGCAAGCAGCCCGTGTCGCTTGTCTCGTGCAAGTTTGCCTCTGGCCCTGCCGTCGTCGCCCTCTCAAACACGTCCCTCCTCTTCTACGCGGACTCAGGCGTAAGTGTGTGTCTGTGTGTCTGTGTGTCTGTGTGTGTCCGTGTGTCCGTGTGTATGTGTCTGTGTGTGTGTCTGTGTGTGTCTGTGTGTATGTGTGTGCGTAGACAAATGCGCACATAGGCACATATACAACATACACACATGCATACAAGCAACATACACACGCAAGTTGCATACTTGTGTCTGTGCACTTGAAACACGTGCTACAGCTAGTGCCCCTCACCTGATGCTGTGCATTACCGTGTCCTGTGCAGCGAGTGACGTTTTCCACCTTGAACGAGGCGAACTTGACGTGCGTTGCGCCCCTGAGCACGCCCGCCTACCCTGACAGCCTCGTCTTCTCCACCCCAGCCAGCCTCGGCATTGGCCAGATTGGGCGCATGAACAACCTCCACATCAACAAGGTACCGTTCGCCTCGGCTGGCCACCCCAGACACACCCTCCACACACGTGTGCGTGCACAAGCAAAAGCATACACACACACATACCTGCATAAACCGACACGTTCGCGCGTTTGCACGTATGTACAAGATACACACAGCACGTGCGTTGACCACACAACTGCTGGTTCCACTGGCCCTTCGCCTCGCAGGTTGCGCTTGGCTTCTCGCCCGTGTCCCTGACGACCATCTCGGCCAACCCCTCGTATGTCGTGGTGGTAGGCCACGTCGATCAAGGTGCGTCGCTTTAAACGCGCTTCTCGGTCGTCCTGTCATGCTGCTGACAGCGTTGATTTGTTGTTGCTGTCGCCTAAATTGCTCGATTGCTGACCTTGCCTTGCGTGCTGGCCCTGTATGTTGTTCGCATGTGTATGTGTGTGTGTGTGTGTTTTGAAGAGGATGGAGGGATTGCGAGTGCCATCCGCGTGTTTGACGGGACGACGCTGGAGATGGTTGCATCGCACGAGCTGCCGGCTCCGGAGGCCGTCAACTGCGTCATCCAGCACAAATTCAAGGACGACAACACAGAATACTTCATCATCGGTGTGTGTGTGTGTGTGCGTGTTTCTGATTGTCCTCTGTGCATGTCTTCACATCACTGCCACACCACTCATCACCGCAACGGCGTTACTGTTGTCGTCGTGTCCAGGAACGGCGTTTGTGGACCCGACGGAAACACAGCCGTCACGCGGCCGGATCCTCATCTCCAAACTCGAAAACAAGAAGGAAATCGCAATCGTCCACGAATGCGAAGCAGCGGTGTGTGTCTGTGTCTGTGTCTGTGTCTGTATGTCTGTCTGTCTGTCGGTGTGCGGCTTTGCTCGTGCTTGCCGCCTCCAGCTCACGTTGTCGTGCGTATGTGTGTGTGTGTGTGTGCGTGCGTGCATTTGCAGGGGAGCGTGTACTGCTTGACAAAGATGTGTGGGAAGGACACAGATGATCTGGTTGCGGGGATCAACAACCAGGTTGTTCACTTCAAATACGATGCGACTGGACAGGACGCTGCCAAGAAGCTCCGAGCAGGTGACGACGACATGAGCCTCGATTGCCGTGTGCTTGTTTGCAGCCGCGCGTGCGTGTTGCATGTGCTGGTGTGGCATGCCACATGCTTAGTGCATTCATTTGGACACACACACACACACACACACACAAACACACACTCGCGCGCACATACACTTGCACACACACTTGCGCACATGCTCACACGTGTATTTGTATTGTTGGGTTGCGTGTGCATCATATCTGCTGCGTCGCTGCTGTTTCGTCCAAGCAGTGAGTGGCAACCAGAACTTTGGCGCCGTCGTCTCCCTCGACAGCTGGTGACTTGCAATTCCTGTTGACCACCAGTGCACCGTCGTCATTGGGACCTCTTGCCCTTGCATGACAACCCATGCCTCACACGTGCACATGTTTGTGTGTGTGTGTGTGTGTGTGTGTGCGGTGGATGCAGCGACGACATTGTGCTTGTTGGCGATATGCTCAACGCCGTCTTTGTCATGCAGAAGGCGCAGGACAAACTGCAACTCGTACGCTTCAAGCTTGTGTGTGTGTGTGTGTATGTGTGCGTGTGTGTGTGTGCGTGTGTGTGTGTGCGTGTGTGTGTGTGCCTGCCTGTGCGTGTCTGCGTAAATGTGGGTGCATGTCTGTGGGTGTCTGCGTAAATGTGTATGAGTGTGCGTGTGTGTGCGTATGTTGTTGGGTGAGCTGATACCTGTTGGTGCAACGTGTTGCGCACTGCTGCGTACAGGTGGCTGGAAGTCAAACAGCCAATTGGGTGTCGTCGTGCGCGCTTGTCAACGAAACAGTCTTCCTTGTCGCGTCGCATGCCCACTCCCTCTCCGTGTGCCAGGTAGGCGGTGCTTTGTCACCCAGTGTCCCCCTTGCCACGAGCCTCTTTACAGAGGGGAGAGTGTGTGAATATGTGTGTCTGTGTGAACATGTGCCTGTCTGTCCGTGTGTGTGTGCACCTTTACGTGCCTTTATCGCAGCTCATTGCAACTTCTCATTGTTGCTCTCTGTGTATGTGTGTCTGTGTCTGTGTGTGTGTGTGGCTGTGTGTATGTGTATCTGTGTGTATGTGTGTGTGTGTGTGTGTTCTGCACCCCCCCCCCCCCCAGCGCGAGTTTGAGCCCGGCTCGACCATGCAGACGCTCAACGCCAAGTTTGAGATCTACCTTGGGGAGACGGTGACCTCGTTCGTGCGTGCGGCGCTGGGCTCTGCGGCTGCCGTCGACAGTAGCATGCCGCTACGCAACACCTTCTTTGTTGTACGTTCGCCTCATAGTCATGGATTGCACACGTATACAGATTGAAAAGGCACACACGCACATGCACGCATGGTTACCGTCTGGATGCACGCATGGTGTCTGCATATGTGCATTCGCATATGTGTGTGTGTGAGAGAGTGTGTGTTGCCGGCCACGATTGTCTAATTTTGGTCTTACATGCCTGGTTTCATTCAGTTTGGCACAATGGGTGGTGGCTTGGCGTGCTTGCTGCCGCTCACACCGCCACAGACGGAACTCCTGACAGCGGTACGCTTGTTTGTCTTGGCATGCACAGAGAGAGAGAGAGAGAGAGAGAGAGAGAGAGAGAGAGAGAGAGAGAGAGAGAGAGAGAGAGAGAGAGAGAGAGAGAGGGAGAGAGCCATATTCGCGCGCGCACTCACACACGCACGTAACGATGATGGTGGGTCCGAAACGGCAACACCTCCGTGTGTTCGAACAATGGTGTATGTGCTGACGATTGCCAATGCGTGTGTGTGTGTGTGTGTGTGTGTGTGTGTGTGTGTGTGTGTGTGTGTGTGTGTGTGTGTGTGTGTGTGTGTTCCCCAGCTGGAGTGCAGGATGGAAGAGAAAATCGGGGGTCTTGGTGGGCTGGACCACAGGGAATTCCGGACAGCGCGGGACGAGCAGCGCATGGCGCAACAAGGTTGGGCTTGGGAGCATGCAAGGATGAAGTGACAATGTACACTGCCTACACGCTCTCTTTGGTGTGCCTGTATGCACGTGTATCGTGTGCAAGGCTGACCAGTACTTACACACCGTGGCGTTGCATGTGCGTGCCTGCGTGTGTGCATTGATTTCAGTGAACCCACGCCTTGTTGATGGCGACCTGGTTGAGACGTTCTTGCAGCTGCCAGAAGAAGAGCAGAAGGAGGTGCGTCTTGTGTGTCTTGTGTGTCTGTCTGTCTGTCTGCTTGTGTCAGAGTGTGATTGTGTGTGTGGAGCCGCTCTTGTGTGGTTTTGTTGTGCCAGATGTGTCAGGCCACTACTCCGTCTCGTGCTCACGTCACCACGTCACACGCCAATGACACGCGACTGCGCTGCAGCTGGTGGCCGGCATGTCCCTCATGGGCGAAGACGGCCGCCCGTACGTGGTGACCGCTGAAGTGGCCAAGGCGGCGCTTGAAGCAATGGCGCGATTGCATTGAATAGGCAGGCGCGTGCTGCTGGCACGAAGCACATGCTGCTGTTGCCATGTCATATCGCCACCACACCCTACATGCCTGACGCCTTGCTTGCTTGCTTGCTTGCTTATTGGTTGATATGTCATTTAACTTTACACACCGCTCTCGGTGACCAGTTCAAGGAATGGGAGCTGGGGAGAAGCAAAGGTACACACGTGAGGGTGCAAAGCAAAGCGGGTCCTGATCATCGGAGAAGTGCCACACGTGGTGTGAACTTAACGTCTGTGAGAGCAAAATGGCCATGTGCAGTGCTTAGCACGCACGAACCAACAAACAAACAGCCCTCACGTTCAAAGCGAAACCAGATCCGCGATGCATATGGGAAGCACGACCAGGGTAGGAACACACCGACGAACGACTGCACTGCGAGGCCCTCAACGGTGGTGCGTTATCATCATTTGATCAGCACGTAGATGACAAAGAAGACAGCAACGGCGAACCCGACGATGTAACACATGATTCGGCCACTGCTGGAGTTGGTGAGCGCCTTCACTTTTCTCATGGAGATGCCCAACAGCGACGCTGTATCCTCAAACGATCCCGACTGTTGTGTGTGTGTGTGTGTGTGTGTGTGTGTGTGTGTGTGTGTGTGTGTGTGTGTGAATGGGAGACAGAAATGAAGGCACTCACAGACAGAGAATGAGAGACATACATACACACAGACACATACATACACACAGACACACATACACACACACACATACACACATACATACATATACACACATACACACACACAG